CTTGCAGATGTATGTGAAGGTCTACAGGGTACTCTTTGGTAGTTTTAGTCGTCTCCAAGTGGCCGACTTTAGAGTAAAAAAAGTTTAACTAGACAGCACGAACGAAAACACCAAGAAGGTTGGAGTGAGGCGGCGTTTATTATAAGGGAAGAGTTTTAACGGGGTAAAATCTGGTAGGTCAGTGCATCGGTGTACAGCCTAGTAGGGCTATATGCATCCTGGAAAATAACCAGAAAGTCTGGTCACAGAAAAGTGATACGCAACAGAAAAGCAGAAGTATCGTAATTAGATTCAGCAAAAAGGTAATAGAGTTATCATATTTGGTGCAATACCCCATGTTGAAAATTTCCTTTACTGAGATCACTAAGTGCAAGTAAACATTATCAGATTTCTTGAGGAGTTTTCCTAAGATTCCACTTGAAAATCCTCCGTACTACGACGCTTTTTGCGTACTTATTCCAATGCCCAAAAACACGTTCAACTCACCTAAACAAAATGTACAAACGCATATAATCCACCTCAAAATGGACTATATTCCTGCAGGTTTAGGCAGCGTTAATTAAAAAGGAACCTAGTTATCTCAAACGCAAAGTGAGAAGTCCTGAATGGCACACGAAACCACAGTACACCGAAAGAAAGGATCCTTTATGGTGGTATATGAACTGGCCTTGAACGTAGTGTGTGAAAATGCACACCGTTTTGGCATCAACTACCCGTGAGCTTAGGAGGGAGGGGGATGAAGGTGTCCTTCAAAGAATGTATCAAGGACCATCATGTGCTTTTTATGGGCTACCAAGACGTCTTTTAATTAACTTATAGTTGAAAAAAAGTAACGGAATGCAACACGTAGATCACAAGAACCTACACACTGGGTGACTTTGATTCAACAAACGAGTTTTTTTACTTCGCGTGAAAGGTTTTCAGAGGAAGCAACGGTTTATCTCCTCGTAAGTGGTAATGCCATAAAAAAGCAGAAAATTACTGAAAAAATGAGCAGCTTTTGAACCAAGAGTAATGTGACTCAGTACTGGGACACTCCAAAAGTAACACAAAAATAAAAAAACATGGATTAACTACCCGCTGGCGAACCCAAAAGCACAAAAAATAAATAAATATCACGGCTAGACAAGGAACCTTAGTTTCTAATTTAAAATGTGTATTATTACTGCCTTCCAGTAGTTCCGACAGAAACCGATTCTTCCTGCAGACACTGCTAAATTGTATTTCCGGTGGGAACTATCAAAGTTCTTTTTAGCATCATGAAAACAATTAGTCACCTAATTGTTTTTGTCGAAATTATCCAACGGTCTCCAAAACTAAGATACTAAGAAACTTTAACAAAGTTGGAAAAAAGTGAAAACGTTATCTCAAAATTATGCTCTCCTAACAGACATTAAAGTATTATTTCTTCTGAACAATCGTTTGAAAATTTACTTGAAACATTTAAATGTTTTGTTTGAAAGTTTCAGCTGGCATTACGTGTGCCAGAAGTTTTCGAAACTGTCAAATTGCCCCAAAAAAAAGATTTGTAAATAGTAGTGATTTTCCAGTAATGTGAATGTTTGTCTACTACTGTCGGATTTCCGCTAACATCAAACCCGATCGTGTCGTGTGTCGGCAGGTTTTTCTAATGATATGCGAACAGCGAGAATTATCGGGACAAACAAACGATGGGATGCTCGCGACGCGCAACTTCTACCAAGCTTCTCTCGTTTCCCAATAACAGAAAAAAGCAGGAAACACGGGTACAGTGCGCACGAGCACATATAAGCACAACGAAGCAAGCGGAGAACACTAAAAAATTCATAGACGTAAAAGTAGCTGAATTTGGGACCGTGAATTTTTTCCATGCAAAATAGATGCCTTAACGATTTCAAAACACAAGCAGCAGTAATGTCTCTTTTCAATCCGAAAAAATCCTGCCTTCCTCCGTTATTTTAAGTGAATGTCGTTCGGACAGCAACTTTCGACAGTTGATTACAATTATCGCAGCACGGTTGAGCTTGCCTCGTGGAACAGATCACCAAATTGTGTGCAGAAAGATACGCGATCTCATGACAGCTTCGATACACGACAACGGACACTGAGATCGCAACTAATAATATCACTGACACCTTGCTCGAAACTCGCTCTCCCGCTTAAATTAGCTGAAGTGAACACAAAGTGGGAAAAAAGCAAGGTCCTAATTTAACGCACTAAAAAATCCTTATAAAACAACTAGAAGGAATTACGTTGTTTGAAGGCCTTTCCAGCCAAAGCCATCGTCTTGTGTTCATATAAG